AAAAAAAAAAAAAAAAAGCATATGACAGGTTTTGAAGATAGTAGAGAAACCCATCATTTCTTTCAAGAACTCGAGTCTAAAAAGGCAAAGTAAGAAGATTTTGAAGAGTTAAGTGAAGAACTTAGAATATCTTTTAAACAAATAGATAGATGGATAGATAGATATAGATAGATAGATAGATAGATAGATACACAACCTCTACAAGTATATACAAGTTAAACAATTTAAGAAAATCACAAAAGCTCATGCCTGTACTTCCAGCTAATTGGGAGGCCGAGTGAGTCTATTCCCTGAAGACAGCAAGATCCCCACCTAAACCAATTGGGTGTGGTGGTACAGATCTGTGGCCCCAGATTCATAAGAGAAAGACTGTGACAACATGCTGTCTCCAAGAGGAAAAAAAAACAAAAGCCTATCCAAAAACCAAATCAAGAAAGCTGAGTGGGTGTGCTCAAGTAGTAGAGAACCTTCCTAGCAAGTGGGAGTCCTGTGCTCAAACCTCAATTATAACCCCTCCAAAAATAAAAATAAAACAAAATATAACAAAAATAACTTACTGAGCCTAACACATTATGTATGGCAAAATTAAATTTTATTTAAGCAAGGAAATAGTATCATTCTTCTAAGCTTCTTGAATTAGAACTTTCCATGGCATAAGTCTGAGTTCAAATTACTTAGGACTTTACAACATAATATGAGCCATTCTTGATTTTTTTTTTCTTCCTGTCTTACCAAGTTTCTGAGCATTACTTCAACATCAGTAACATGAGTGTAGGGCTAAAATGAAATTTATGGATTTTAGCAATACAGTAAGAATATGATATAAACTAGAATTTGCAATTTCTATTACTAGTAGTTTGATCTCAAAGAAGTCCTTTATTTCACTGTCTCAAATCTTCTGAAATACTCAAAAATCACTTTAAAAAGTGTTCTGAAACACCAGATGGTAGTGCCTCACACATGTAATCCTAGCTACTCAGAAGGCTGATACTAGAAAATTTTGGTTCAAAGCTATCCCAGGCAGGAAAATCTCAGAGACTCTTATCTCCAATTAAACACCAAAACTCTGGAAGTGGAGCTAAGGCTCAAATGGTAGAGCACCAGCCTTAAGCAAAAAAGCTCAGAGAGGGGCTGGGAAGGTGGCTCAGTGGTAGAGCGCTTGCCTTGCATGCATGAGGCCCTGGGATCGATTCCTCAGCATCCCATAAGCAAAAAGAAAAAAGCCGGAAGTGGCGCTGTGGCTCAAGTGGTAGAGTGCTAGCCTTGAGCTGAAGAGCTGAGGAAAGACGCCCAGGCCCAGAGTTCAGGCCCCGCGTCCGGACTCCCCCCTCCCCCCCAAAAAAAGCTCAGCGATAGCACCCAGGCACTGCGTTCAAGCCCAGAATCAACACACACACACACACTGAAAACTTGCCTTCAAAATTTAATCATCAAGTGTTCAGTGAGGTGAAAGGTGACTCCTAGACAAAGACTTAATAACTTGAAAATAATCGGTGCTTCCAAACTTCAAACGGTGTAACTCTAAGTTGCTATAACCCTGTTATTTGAAAATATTCCTACATTAGTGTGTGTACTTCATCTGGTTAGAAAATACTCAAGGACGAATAACCAGCATACAGTAATTACCAAGAGTAACTCAAATCCATTTGTAACTCTCAGGAGAATCCTGGGTGACAGGGAAACTTAAAGCATCCTAATAATTCTTAAGCAAAAGGTGATAAAAATAAAAATGTGAGAGAACTGTAAGCATGTACAGGCTAAACTTAATTTAGAGCATTCTGAACTCAGATAACTGTAAAATAGCTCCCTTTAAGTATGCTCTAGTTGAATAGTGTGCTTGTTTACAGTGGTGTTGCTTGGTAACAGAAGCACTTCTTTAACAACCTACTCAGTTCTGGACCTATTCAAGTATTCTGAACATATAATGAAGACATGATTAATTTAAAAATTCAGAACAAATTTCTCCTTATCCTACAAAGCTTGGAGATTTAAACTGTCTTCATTCTGACCCAGAGACATAAAATACTGGGTATTCTTCTATGTACAGTGCCCATTTATCGTGGTCCAAGGTTGGACACTAAGGATTTACCAAATTATCCAATCAGCCCAAAATATCTCCTCATAGTTGAGATGTGACCTCGGTTAAAAAGCCATAAACATCCATCACTGCTAAGCATGGCTCCAACGCCAAAGAAATACAAGGGGAGCACGACTTTTTCAATCCACGACTTAAAACTCGGGGGTGCCACACTTCAGCCAATCACGCACGCAAAGTACCGCACCGCGGATATCCCGGGCAGGGGCGGAGGGAGCCCGGCGTGCCCTCCCTTGGCTGCCAGACGTGGCTTCTAGCGTGACCTGGACTTTTCTAACACGCGCGCCCCCATCCGTGGACAAGGAAACCTCAAAAGGATTCCAGAGCAGTCGGGAGTAGAGGGGATCCCGAGGGGACGGGGATCGAGTCTTGCACAATTTGAAAGCCAAATGCCTTACCCAACTCATGCACGGTCCCGGCGACGTGCGCCCCGAAAACTTCACAGTGACCGGTGTTCTGGCCTCCCCCGCCACCCGGGGACACATCCACAGCTCCAGCCTCCGGCACCCACTCCACCCGGGCCGCCGAGGCATCGGGGCTGAGGGAGTCGGTCCCGCCCGCCGGGGTCACGGCCCGCCCGGCCTCGCCTGCTCCCCGCGGCCGCTCGCGCGCCTCCGGCCGGCCGCCGGGACAGAGCAGCAACCGTCGGGCTCCGGAGCCTCGGTGGAGGAGGACCCTTAGGAAGCCCCGACGGTGGACCGGGCGGCCACGGCAGCTTCTCCTCGGAGGGCCAGCCTCCCCCTCTGGGTCAGCCCTGGAGCCCGCGGGCCGACGACTCGCCCGCCGCCCGCCACCTCAAAGCGCCGCACGGCTGGACACGGCAAGGAGAAGCAGAGGCGCGGGAAGCCCGACTGGGCCGGAAGTCCCGCCCCGCACTGGCGTCACCACCACGCGCGCCCGGCCGTTGGAGGGAGGCGGCGCGAAAACTGCCGCTGCCACTGCGGGAAGCCGGAGGCCGTCGTTATTCCCCGAGCCCAACGGAATGGAAAGTGGGTCTCTAGACTCCGACTCCGGACCTTGATGGTCCGTACGGCAGTGGAGCCAGAAACCTGGTTCCCTCTCCTTCAACTGCCTTTCCTGCTCTCTGCTTAGGGCTAGGATGGCTGACCTGTCATCGCTCTGTCAGCACGGCCCGCCTGCCTGCCTTCGGTTCTGTGAGATTAGGTTCCCGAGGTCGCCATCCTGCCAGCTTAACCTGGGGGCACTAGTCACCTAGCTCGTCCTCCGTGAGGGACCCTGGAAGGAAGGCCCTGGAGGATCTCTCCTCTACATCTCCTGTGGTGGGCCTATTGCAAGGAGCAGACTTGGAAGGGGAAAAAAGTACTTGCCTTTGACAGTATTATTTGTAACTTAAGGTAGACTTCAACTTTACAACATAGGGGCTGCCCTGGTTCCCACCTTTAATCCTAGTTACTTGAGAGGCAGAGGTAGGAGAATCCTGGTCTATGGCCTACAAAAAGTGCATACCCTCTCCGAAGGTTGTTAGGTTGGCTCACTAGTAGACTACCTGCCAAACAAGTGCAAGACCCTGAGTAGAACCAAAAGGGAAAAACACACTCAAAATCTTCCCCACCCACTTGCACTCATGCAAGGCAATCAAACAGCAAGGAAAAGAGTCAAATTTGGAAAAACAGGCTTGATTTCAGAATTTGTCACAAAGCTACAGTAATTAAGATAGTTTTGTACTATCCTAGGGAGTATGAATCAGTGTTTAAGGATCCAGAAATGGAGACTTAATTTATGACCAATTGATTTTCAACAAAAATAGAGCATTCAACAGAGGAAAAAATAATAATGCTGTGGAAAAAAGGATATCCAGTTTAAGATGAACTAGTTAGGAGCATAGCTCAAGTGGTAGAATGCTCGCAACAAGCATGAACCCCCCTTGGTTCCATCACCAGTAAACATGCGTGTGCACACAAAACTTTGAGGGAGATGTACAAGGTAAAGGTAAACCTTAGAAAATATAGGGAAAAAACCCCATAACTTGGATCAGACATTCTCTTAAGATCTAGCAGCAAAAGCAAAAAGAAGAAAGCCAAAGATAACAGCTTTGAATGGGAAAAAGAGTTTTGGGGAAAAAAAACTTTGAAAATAGTCTAGTATCAGACTTCTTACAATTAGATAGGCTCAATTGTATGACTTTGTGTGCATGCACTAGTACTAAGGCTTGAACTCAGGGCCTAGAGATTACTATTCTTGGCTTATTTGCTCACAGCTGCTGTTCTATCATTTGAGCCATGCCTCCATCAAAAAAAAAAAAAAAGACCCAATTTCCAAATAGGAGAGTGAATACAAACTTCTCCAAAGAAGATATAAAAATGATCATAAGCACATACTTAGAGAAAGTCCCTTTGATGTGCTAAAAGAACATACGGAGAGCTAAGAATTGCAGCATACATGAAGCTCTGGATTAATTGCTCAGCACCAAAAATATTGTGTCAATGTTTCTACATACATGAAAATGTTAGTAGCAAGTTAACAATGAATTCCATCCATCTCTTCAGAAGTTATGATTTTCATAATGGTAAGGTCAATAATGACCTTAAATGTTAAAGTCAGTAACTGCCAATGCTAAAGGCGCTAAAGCTTTCACAGAAGAGTAGTCCTTTGCACAGGACAACTCTAGATATGCATTGGCCAGAATATTTAATATTACAAAACTAAGCATATACTGGAATGTATGTAAAAATAAGCATTCATTCACCAAGAATCCAAGAAAATGTCAGGATTCAAGGCATTCAGAATCCTAATGGGGTAGAAATGTTGCAGGGTTCAAAGTCTTTAAGTCTTTCCAACCTACCACTTGGAGAAACTAGAGGATTCAAGAATATACCTAAGTCTTGTTTACTCTTACCATTATAAGGAAGTCTAGATGACACCAGCATTGTTTTAAGACCAGATATTGAACTGTTAAATTCACAGGCAAAAGAATATAGGCAAAACAACATCCTATATTCAGGGTTGTCTTGATTTTACACATCGTTCCAGAACACTCAGCTTATTGACTCTCAAAGCTTATATGAGCCCTGGTGTAGAGGTTGTGTATTTGCCACAAAACAAACTGTACTCATTGAATTAATGAAACAAGGCAAAATGACTCTGTTCAAAGGATACTATTTTTACCAAACATTTTTACAGGCTTCTGCAGCAGCTGAATCTGGCTGAATACTCCCAGGAGTTTTGGAATGGCTTTTGACATTCTCAATACTATCTGGAACATTGCTGCACAGCAGTGCATGAATGGCATATGGAAGGAACTTGTAAAGGCATACGAACATGCAAAGGGCTTAACAAAGACACTGCTGTTGATGAAATAGTCACTAGATATTAGTGCTTGGGAACCAGCTCAAATTCAACATGAAATAATGAAAAGGATATTCATGAGATGACACTGAGGCTAAAGAAATGTCAAATAAGAAACTGGTTGAACTGGAGAAAAGTAAAATGCCAAGGCAGAGGAAAATGTTATACCTGAGGTAACATGAACGTTATAGCAAAGAAACTGGTAAGGCAGCATTGGAGCATTTTACTACTATCCTTAGTAGTGTATCCTCGGGTGTCAAAAGAAATGAGTATCCATTAGGCACCAGAGGCTCATGCCTGTAATCCTAGCAACTCAGCAGGCTAAGAACTGAATGTGCTGGGCTTAAAGCCAGCCCAGGCATTACAAATCCAAGAGACTCTTCAATTAACCAGCAAAAAGCTATAAGTGGAGGTATGACAGCAGAGTGCTAGCTTTGAATAGGAAAAGGCTAAGCAAGAGCAAGCCCCATTAACTGGAACAAGGAGGGAAAAAAGGAGGAGGAAGAGGAAGTGGAGGAAGAGGAGGAGGGGGAGAAACAGGAGGAGGAGGAGGAGAGAAGGACGGGAAGGATGGAGAAGAATGCCCAGAGGGGGTATCAGCTGTGTATGTTAATAGTGACTACACATATAAACCTTTATGTGTTTTGTTTTGGTAAGCTATTCAATAAATTCTATGAGATATTCAATACATTCAACATTACCCAGTTGTAGGGTAACTCAAGGGTTCTGAGCATATTGGAGGTTATATGATTTTAACAATGGGATACATTAAATACACTTTCAACTAAAAATAGTCTGAACTTATGGTAGATTTAATAAGAGATAAAACCTCGTAAGTTGAACATCTGAAAATAAAGACATACACTATGTTCGTGGGTTCCGAAATTTAAAACTTTTTTTTTCTTTGGTGGTATTAGACCTTCCATTTGCTACACAAGTGCTCTCCCACGTGAGCCATGCCTCCAGCCCTAGGATATATTAGATGTTAATATTGCCCAAAGAAAGCTATAGACAGTGCAATTTCTATTAACATCCTAATATTTTTTTATAGAAATAAAGTTCATTGTGTAAAATTCATGTGACCTCTCAACAAAGACAATCTTGAAAAAAAGAAAAACAAAAATGAAAGACTTATATGTTCTGATAGTAGAACTTATTAAAAATCTACAGTAAATTAAAACAGTGGCACTGGCAAAAGACAAATAGATATGGGGATCAATAGAATAGTCATCCAAGAAATGAATCATCTTGTAAGTAGGTGGTTGAGTAATTTTAAACAGAGGTGTTAAGACCATTCAATAGAGAATGGGCTTTTTTCCCAAAACTACTGAGAAAATGAAATTTCTTTATATAAAAAATTTGAGCCATTACCTAAAATGTACAAAATTAACTCTGGATGAAAAACAAAAATGTGACAAAACTATACTACTATTAGTACTCTTAGAAGCAAACATGGGTAAAAGCTTCACATGATTAGATTTATCAGTTTCTTGGATATAGCAATAAAGTAAAAGGAAACAGAAGAAAAATAGGTACATGGGTTTTTTGTTTTGTGGGGTTTTTTGGTTTTGGTTTTTGGGGGTTTTGGGGGGGTCATGATACTGGGGTTTGAATTCAGGCCTTAAGCTTTCTAGGTAGATACTCTTGAGCAATGCCCCCAGCTCTCTTTTGCTTTTATTTTTTTAATTGTTGGTTATAGGACTTGAACTGGGGGGCGAGGAGGGGGCAGGGGGCTGCGCACTATCCCTGAGCCTCTATGCTCAAGGCTAGCTCTCTACCACTAGAGCTACAGTGCCACTTCTGGCTTTTCAGTGGTTAATTGTAGATAAGAGTTACATGGGGACTTTTTTGACCTGGCTGGCTTTGAACTGCTATCCTCAGATTTCAGCCTCCTGAATAGCTAGGACTACAGGCCTGAATAATTGGCACCCAGCTGCTTTACTTATTTGTAAGGTAGGGTCTCATGTTTGCTTTTTACAGGGCTGAACTTGGACCATGATCCTACTACCTATGGCCTTGTGAGTAGCTGAGATCTCACGACCACTACCTGGTTTATTGATTGAGATGATGTCCCACTAACTTTTGGTCCAGCCTTAACTTGAACCTCAGTCCTCCTGATCTTCTGAGTAGGTGGATTAAAGGCACGAGACACCTACTCCCAAAGACAAATTGGACTCAGTGAAATATTTTTATTTTT